ATATATCCGTATGTTGAGCTCAAAATAATAAGAAAAAATATACAACAAATTTCTCTTGTTTTTCTTCTCTCCCCTACATATTATTTTCATCTACATCTTAGTTTTATTTTATGAGCAACTTCCTTCATCTGAGCTGAAGCTCTGCACTCTCGCCCGAGTGCAGAGGCCGGCCGTTTTCGGGGGCTTTTACCGCTAGGGGGGAGGGAACCATCTGCGCCAGGGCGATAGGCGGGTTCTCAATCTTCTAGGGTAGTGAATACACGACTGCTCCCAATCAGGTCAGTTTTAATTGTTTATTTTTTTCGGATTTATCTACATGCTATAATCTTAATTATTTGATAAATTTCCAACAATCTAGAAGATTGAAAAGTTTATAGCTTTTGATTTAAATCCGGAAAAATAATTTTTAAAGTTACTGTTCATTCGAGACAGTACTGTTCATCCGAATTTAAAAAAAAAGTTATAAAATTTTTGCTATTACTGTTCGCAATTTAATCAGAATTGCTGGTCATTGTAAAATGAAAACTACTGTTCATTAAAATAATTTACTGTTCATACGAATTTATAAATGCAGTAATTAATTGTTAATTATTGTTGCTAATTAATTTTAACAGTTAATTGCTTTAATTGTTTTATCAGCTGATAATTAAATCCAAAATTAATTTGCATGACAAATAAAGTGAGATAATTAAATCCAAAATTAATTTGCATGACAAATAAAGTGAGATATTTTCTACGCATAATATTGGCGTTCTAGGATTTTTATAACAACTCTTCTCTTGGATATAGTACCCTTTTCTGCTGTTAATGATTGGAAGGTCTGTGTTTCCAGTCTTAGAAAACATCCTCTTGTTGATAGACATAATTCTGAAACCTATTTAGGGGGTTGTTGTCAAGGTGCCAGCAAGCAGTGAAATTTTCTCAATCCTAGCACGAAGCCTGATGCTGTGTATCCCTTTTTAAGAAGGTGAAGCTTCATAATGATGAAGTCACCAATAAAGTCTACCTAGGTTATGATTCTCAGTGTTCTCATAATAGTGCCACCAGTCATAATATCAAAGATGCTTGTATGTTATGTTTATTTTAATGAGATCTCTGTAAAAAAAAAAAATACAACTATTGTTGGATATGTTTATTTTAAGGGATGAAGGTGAATGATAATTACATGTGCCATGTGCACCAAGAATAAAGAGAACAAACTCTGGATGCATAGATGCTTTGAAATATCTGGATTTTTTTTTCATGGTTTAATGCCTTCATTTCTTTAATCTATCAATATGGTGCCTTCTATTAATAATTCCATACTTTGGAGTGTTTATGCATCTAATAAGCTTAGTACAGAATGTGGTAAAAGGTGAATGCAGATTTGTTCTATAACTTATGTGGAAGTTGTCTGCAGCAGGTATATCTATCAATGTTATTTACTTTTATGGGCCTATAAAACATTTTTATATTCTGATACAAAACTCATTGAGTGAACCGGTTCAAGTTTTCTTGGATTAGTTGGTGTCTAAGGCAAGGTTTAGGAGTTGCGTAACGCGCTCTGCAAGGAACAAGGTACTTAATTGATCTTTGATCAACCTCTATTACTATCCTTACCTGGCTAACTACCCAGGTAAAACTTTAATCTTTTCACTTTAGGAGTTTTTGGTTTGGAATAAGAGGTCCGGAATTATGAGAAAAATTCATATGCATTTATTTAATTACGCTTCTTGCATCATATATTGCCTAATGATAAATGATCAATATATGAGCAAACAAATCAAAGAGGTGCATTTTTTTAAAAAATTCTATTTTATATGGTGGATTATATTTCAAATCTTCAAATGTAAAGTCCATCTTTTTTTATTGCATTATGATGGATATTGTTCAAATCTTCAAATGTAAAGTCCATCTCTTTTATTGCATTATGATGGATATTACAATAAATGTTCATATATCTTTTGGATAACTTGCATTTGTTACATGATTAATTGCAAGGTTTTATGCAAGAATGCACTTGAAAATTTTAAAGCACGTATGTACAATTATTATTATTATTATTTGTATAAGAGGTGGTACTAGAAAATGGCAACATAAATTTGGAAGGTCTCCTTTGTAGACAACCAATTTAAATTTGGAAGGTCTCATTTGTAGGCAACCGATTTAAATTTGGACGGTCTCCTTTGTAGGCAACCAATTTGTAACCTCTTATAATAGAAGAATTTTAAAAATTTTATGCATTTGAATTATGAAGTATGAAATATATTTTAAGATACGAAAATATATTTTAAGATACGAAATCCTATTATGCTCTGCATGTATCTATTATTAATTTCATTCATGTATGTGCATATGCATAACTGCAGAATTTTTAGTTCCACATTAGTTTGAAATGTTCAGATATTAAGGTCAATCTCTTCAGACATAGACTATGATCTTTTATGATCATAGATCATGACCTAATGTCAATTTCAAACAATATGATGGACTAATTACAAAATAAGAACTTGATAAATAAATACAACGCCTGCTAGGCAAAGTTATGATTCTAGACTTTGTAAAGTCTGTGAAAAGAATCTTGATGACCCTTTGACTAAGGGATTATCCAGGAGTGTGGTTCTGGATTCATCGAGGGAGATGGGGTTAAGCCCATAGATGAGGTCACTGACAGCGGCAACCCAACCCTTATTTGGAGACGTAGTCCCAATGTCGGTTCAATGTGGTAGAAACAAGCTGGACAAGTGACTCTCGTGTGGAGCATCGACCTAGATATATTTATATATCATTATGTAGCATTTGCTACTACCCCTTCTCTATGATGACGATGCTCTTATGATACAGCTGGCTAGGCTGAGTTTTACTCTTAATAAGTCCAACGCGTGTATTGTGGGGGGTATTAAATAAACAGCTGTAGTACCCTTTGAGGACTTACCTACGTGAGAGGAACCGTGATGGCCGCGGTTAGGGGGGGCTGGGCTAACCCCTAGAAACTCTCATGAGTCGGTTTATTGTGAGCATGGCCTTTAACGCTCAACCCGCTTTGCTCAATAGATGAAGCGTATTGTGTGTGTTTTCATCAATACCTGATTAAAGGGGCCTAATTCAAGGCCTAGTCCATTATGTCCCTCAGGTGGCGATGAACTCACTAAGGAAAGGTTCAAAGCCGAAAGCTATCTCTCCCGAATTCACGATACGAAAGGTTGCCCAACCTATATTTGATTTATGATTTCTTGATTTATTTATTGATTTCTGAGTCTTCAGTCAATATTGCCTTTTGGGGGGGACTGTTAGATATTTTGTTAACAAAATACAATTTTGCCTTCATGAATTATAATAAATATGTAATTAAAACATGCAATTAAAAATATGTGTAACGGATATATAATTATGGGGAACATTACAAAATTTATGACGAACGTTACAGAATTAATTACGGGTTTTGTAACGTCTTTTCCAACCCTATATATATATCCGTATGTTGAGCTCAAAATAATAAGAAAAAATATACAACAAGTTTCTCTTGTTTTTCTTCTCTCCCCTACATATTATTTTCATCTACATCTTAGTTTTATTTTATGGGCAACTTCCTTCATCTGAGCTGAAGCTCTGCACTCTCGCCCGAGTGCAGAGGCCGGCCGTTTACGGGGGCTTTTACCGATAGGGGGGAGGGAACCATCTGCGTCAGGGCGATAGACGGGTTCTCAATCTTCTAGGGCAGTGAATACACGACTGCTCCCAATCAGGCCAGTTTTAATTGTTTATTTTTTTTCGGATTTATCTACATGCTATAATCTTAATTATTTGATAAATTTCCAACAGTTATGATATCAATCAACCATCTGACTTTTTTTGTGTGTGGTGAAATCTCTATTGAGGGGCTATTTGGTCGGCTGAGAAACTAAAAACATGAAATCAAAACATCCGACACACCCAAGTGAATGTGTTTGATTTCATTTTCTTGTGTTTGGTTTAGAGAAGAAAAAAAAAATGTTGTGCATGTGAGACCCACCCACTAGTAAGATAAATAGTGCAATGTGTCTCAAATTTAAGTAAATCCATTTCCTCCCAAAAAGTCATGAAATATGCTTGAAAATATAAAAATGAGTCCAACCACTTATTTTCCGCGAGTAATCTCCAAAACTTAGGATTCTAGGAAATGAATCAAACAACCACTGAAAATGGCCATGATGCCTTAATAGTCACGTAGAGGAGGAGACATTTGCATGCCTGATGGTTAAAGATCAAATCATGTGCCCACAGGTTTATTTTAAAGTTTTTCTAATTTTATATTTCAATCAATATTTTATCAAAAGTAGGTCAAGGAGATTGATTAAATACCGAAACCCTCTTAAAGAGGGTTTTCCCATTCTCATCCTATTTTAAAGATGATTTCCATTAAAAATTTCAAAGAAAATTAATCTTAGTCTTGAAATCTGCTACATGCTTTTGTAATATCTTCATTCTTCAAGAAGAATCCTGTTAGTTAGTACTAAAAGATTATCATCTAATTTGCCTTGATTATATTAAAACCCACATATAATTTTCTCAGTCCTTCAACTACGCCTGTCTAATCTCTCTTAACTAATGACGTTTCCAGGCGTCACACATGAACGAAAATCAATCTGGCGTTAAATCGGCGTAAAAAGGATATTAAATGTACATTTGGACCGGATCTGATATTAGAAATGCTAAAAAAGCCCAAACGGTCCTCTCTTGGTTAGGGCCCAGCCTAAAAACTCTGTTAACGGGTCGGATTGTTTCTATCTCGCAAAGCTCCATTGTGAACCGGATCCGAAGTGCTCTTTTTTTTTTGGGCTGAGCACAGTTCGGTGCAAACCGAGAAAATCGACCGTACTAACCGAAATTTAACGGTTCGGTTCGGATTGAAAAATTTTCAACCTGAACCAACCGAACCGAACCGAACCGAACCGTTTATATCTCTCACTTCCGTAACCCATACATACCCATTCTTCATTTACCCGACCCGTTCTTCATTTTTATAAAAATCCCAAGTCCCAACTCCTCTCCAACCTAAACCTAAATCTCTAACCTGAGCCTTCAGCCGCCGCCAGCTCACTTCCTCCAACTCTTCTCCAAAACTCCGACGATTCTCTGATTCCATAGGAGTTCGGAGGCGATCTTCACGAGCGCTTCATATTCCTTTCTCCAAGCCTCTTCCAACGTCGCGGCCGCCGCCATCCTCGCCAGCCCACTTCCTCCGACTACCAGTCTCGATCGCGGGCTTCCAAGCATCCAACTCCAGTCTCGGACCTCAGTCGCGGCACTCGCAGGCAGTTAAGTTGCTAAGGACTTTAGGTGTTTTTTTATTTTTTTCCTTCTATTTCGTGTTGAGTTTGTGCAAATGAGATGGTAATTTCAGTATGTTGAATTGGTAATTTCAGTTTGTGGGAATGAATGATAAAATGGTAATTTCAATTTGTGGGAATGAATGATAAAATGGTAAATTTCAGGCTGAAGTGTAATCCCTCTCACATAGAAATAATTTCCTTGTGGCAGAATGAACAAGCCTTCTGGGTTCTGAACCTGGTTAAAAAAAAGATAAAATAATTGCAATGAGAGATATGTGCATCAGGCATTTTGTTTAGTGAACCAATGGGAGCTAGTTTATATTATAAGATTAATGATATCAATAACTTGTTAGCCTTTGACATTTTTGACTATAATAATCCTTGTACTAAACATAACTAGTGAAATTTTGGATTCTTGGGAATTATATACGAAGTAGATGCATAGTTCGTTTCACCATGGATTGCGTTCTGTGACTTCTGTTCTTGTTACAGACTATTGATAGTTTGAAGGAGTTAAAACCGAACAAACCGAACCGAACCACACCGAACCGACTTGCATTGGTTTGGTTCGGTTTTGAATAATGGGCGGTTCGGTTCGGTTGTTCGAAATTTGATAAAAACCGAACCAAATCGACTGTTTGCACACCCCTATCTTTTTCTTTTCACGTTCGAAAACAGCAAAAACCCTAAAGCCTCTTCCTTCTATCTCGTTCAAACCCTAGAAATCCCAGCTGAGCAGCCAGAAAAAACCCTAATTTGCTGGCCATGGCGAAGAAGAGGAAGCACGTGGAGCCTCCACGAGAGCAGAGGAAAGAAGAAGAGGTCGACCCGCCGAGGCCCAAACGAACCCTTCTAGGGTTTAAGGATGGAGCCGTCGTCGAGAAGAAGAGCGATCTTCCAGTGTTCAGGAACAAGGAGAAGGTCTTGGTCACGTGCTCGAGGAGAATCATCTACAGGTAGTGATTTGTTTTGAGAGAGAGAAGATAGCAAAATTTGTTGTAATTTGTTACTGATTCTGGGTTTTATTGAAATTTTGAAGGTATCGGCATTTGATGCTGAATATAGTTTCGCTTTTGCCTCACTGTAAGAAAGATAGCAAGGTGGAGTCGAAGGAGACGAAAGGGGCTACCCTAAATGAGCTGGTGGAGCTTAGGAATTGTTCCTATTGCCTGTTTTTTGAGGTAAAGGCTGCATCTTTTTTCATTGAACTGCATAGGAATAGATAAATTTTATATTTATGTGGGATATTTTTTTAAAAAAATCAGGTGCAAAAGATGAGTTTAGCAGAAATGAGAATGTTACGATTGTCTTGAAGACGTACAATAGAAGGTAGGATAAGAAATGAGTGCATTTGTAGAATGTTAGAGGTTGCTTTTATTGAGGATAAAATGTGCAAGAAGCAATTGAGATGATGGTCACGTATAATGGAGATCATTAAGTGTGCCGGCTAGGAAAGATTAATAGATTATAATTAATGGGGAAAATAGGACTAGAGGTAGACCTGATGAACTTCATGGTACGCGATTGAAAAGGGTATAATAAAAGTTAGCTTAATAGTGGAAATGACCCGTAATAGACCTGAAGAGGGACAGTGTTCATGCAGCCAACCCCAAAAGTTTGGGACAGAATTTTCCCACGTTGTGCTTGTGTATAAAAATATACCTTTTAACTCCCTTGAAAGGTGAAATAAGTTCTACACTGACTAACATTGGATTTTTAAGCCAAAAACTAGTGTACTCTGTAGTGTATACTCTAACCAGAATGTGGGGTTTTAAATACTTCTAATAGGATACTTGTAGTGGCTAATGAATATAGTATATTTTTTGTGATTATCTGTATTCAATTTCATATTGACTTTTCTTACCCACTTCGGCATAAACGATTTTCCTTCAAGACTACTAAATGACTGTGCTTCACTTCTTCTTATTCTTTATCCTCTTTTAAGCTCATCTTACCAGAGAAGAATTCTATTTCACATGCATCTGATTTATCTGATCTTTATTAGTTCGAATTGTTGGGTCTTATTAATTTGTTTTGTTCCTTATAAGAATGTTTGTTATTCCTCTGCCGATCTTGTTCTTCTTTTTTACATTTGTACCAGTGTAGAAAAGGGAAGGATCTTTACCTCTGGATGGCGCGGTCACCTGGTGGTCCATCTGTGAAGTTCCTGGTTAACGCCGGTAAGTTCTGTGTTCTGTGTCTTTTAAAATATTTATGACCCTGCAAGATAGCAAGGAAAGCAGTTTGTGGTTACTTTTTTATTAATGAGTTAGGTTTTCTAGATTCGTAAATTTTCTTACTGAATATATACATAACTTGTTTTGTTTATTCTCAGTTCATACTATGGAAGAACTGAAACTTACTGGAAATCACCTTAAAGGATCAAGACCGGTTTTAACCTTTTCTTCAAATTTCAATAATGAACCCCGCTGGATGCTTATGAAAGAAATGATAACTCAGGTATTCTTTTCTTTATTTTTCTCCAGACCAGAGCATTTCTTCTTAGTTTATGTGCTTCCCAGACTCTCATCCAAGTGACAGTCATGAAAAATGGTCAAGAGGATAATATATTTTGTATTGAGCTTTAGTTGTCAGCATTTCAGGGTCCACCCTGAATGTGGTTAATTGGCTACAGGTGTCTAACGCATGCATCTGTGCAATATGGTTGATGTTACACCATCATGAAATTTCAAGCTTTATCAAATGTCTATTATCCCCTCTGCATTCTTTCTTTTTTGATTTATCATCAAAAGTATTCTATTTTGAAATTTTAAGATTCACAATTTACACAGTATTCTTACCCTCCCACTCCCATGTGCCTCTCCAACTAAAAGAAGGACAAACACATGGGGAAAACACACATAATATGGGAGACAAGCACATTCAGAACAAAAAGGGGGAAAACTCAAAAAAAAAAAAGATGTTTTTTCCTTGTATCCATTACCTTGGGGTGAAACTGAGAAAAAAGGCATGGGTAAGCAAGCTATGTTGTTATTGGTAGTTTCTATATATTTTGTCTTGCTGCTTGAAGATATTATGCCCATGTTATCACAGAATCTATTCAGTCTAGTTGTCTATTTGGTGTTAGCAACATATTCTCTATTCACAGTTGTGTATGCTGGTGAATCGGTGATGTTAAAAATCATTTCGTCTTCACTTTCTTAGTCTAGCATAATACTGGAGAAATGCTTCTTGGTTGTACAAGTTGAAAATGCACGCATCTACTGCAATGAATTTGGCACTGTTAGGAGTGTGGACGTTGGGTTGAGATCAGTGATAAACTTAAGTAAACATTTCCATTGAGCGTTTCTTTCTTAGAGCTTACGCCGTTTTTTGTGGGGAAAAGCTTAGATGAAAATGTATGGTCTTTGACTTCATATGTGGGACTGGAGGTTAATTTAGATTATAGAACATGGGTTAAGAGCTTTGTTCTTTTAGTCGAGGAGTAAGGGAGTGTTGAATCTTTCGGCATGCCTGAGCCATAACTACAACCAAAGACTTGGACACAAGCTTTGTTGTTTAATATTTCTATGCTTCACACCTTTAGATATTTTGTATGTCATCACATAAAAAGGAAATTTTGATTTTTCTTAACGTTTTCTAGCCACTTAACTTTATGTTTAGGGTTTCCAGGGAAAGAAAAAAAAATGACGAACTAGTAATTTTGTACCTTAAGTTTATATTGTTGGAATATAATAAAACTTGCTTTCTCTGATTGCAGATTTTTGAAACACCGAAGGATCACCGGAAAGCAAAGCCCTTTCATGACCATGTTTTTGTTTTTTCAATTGTTGATGATCACATTTGGTTTCGGAATTATCAGGTATCCTCATATAGTAACATACTTTTACTTTCTTGTCAAGTTACATACCATTTGTGCATTCTTCAGTTCATTCTATTGGAGACCTTTACATTGTTTTTCTTATGAATTGAGATTTGATAACTATAAGTGAGTCTCGGCTGGGTGTGAAAGGGGTTGAGGCCAAGCACTTTCTTAAGTCTACATTATTAGTGTTTAGTTGCTGATAAGATACTGCAGTAACATGAAAATTCATGAATTCATGGTTGCAGTTATGAATGATATAATATATCTTTATTGTTATGTTTTTGTATATGAACATTATGTTTATAATTTATAAAATCTATGAGAAATTGACATATATGAAAACTCTATATATCCTGCAGATTTCTGTTCCTCACAATGAGACTGATAAAGTTGATCATGGAGGTCTAGACAAAATGACACTTATAGAGGTAAAAAAAAAACAGTGTGTTTTTTCAGTGTTTTGGTTTCTCTCCCCAAAGCTGCATCAGATTATAACATGAACACAAATCTGAGCAGGTTGGTCCAAGATTTTGTTTGAACCCAATCAAGGTTTTCGGTGGTAGTTTTGGTGGACCGACGCTGTATGAGAACCCATTTTATGTATCGCCCAACCAGGTACTTAACCACCTCTGTGCTTCTTGTACTAATATATGGCCTCTGATAAAACTCTTCCGAGAAATTTTTAGCCATGCAGTCTAAGACAACCTGCATCTCTAAATATCGCCTAGAAATTTTCTTCTATTTTAATACTTATTTATAATCATCACTCCTTGCGGGGGGATGCTTTTATTCAACTATCTTGTGCCATATGGCAGTGGTAATTAGTTGATCATTTTTTAAAGTTCCCCCACCTCAGTTCCATTGTGAAAACGGTTAATTCCAAAATAAAAACTTCATTCTTGTAACGAAAAAGTTTTCCATTGTTTCCTTTCAATTTCATCTGCATAGATACAATAATTTGAGGTGCCTTTTTTCTATGGTTATAACAAGAGTATATCTACGACTAATAGCTGTTTTCCAGTTGGGTTTGGGCATTAAAGCTCAAGTTGCATCATTTACTTGTGAGATGCTTTCAGATTGAGTTTTATACCATTCTCAGCATTGGCAATTGATTTTGTCTTCAACATGTGGACGTTTGAATTTAATGTTTCGTGCCAACGCTTACTCCGTTTGACCACCAGAAGCCTAAATTGTTAAATCCTCAAGGGACCTTTTGAGAAACATATCAGTTGGAGGTTAATATGTTATTTTTTTGCTGGCATCTTCTTTAATATTCCAATCTTTTGCGATGTATCATTTGAATCAACCAGGACACCTGAAAATTTGTAAAGCATCATGGTCATCTGCATTTAAATTGAGAGGGTAATAGAACATATACGGTGCCATAGCAAACGGGATGTATATAAACACAATGTAAGAACACACAAGATACACATGTATACCTATTATTATCCATTGCAGTATGAACTTTGATTCTGTGGCATTATTGATCATTTATTGCTTTTTCTTTTCTTGTATCAGATCCGAGCATTGGAGAAGAGAAAGAAGGCCGGAAAGTATGCAAAGAAGGTGAAGGCCAAGAGTAGGAGGAAGACCCATGAAATGTCGAACCAATTAGAGCCTGATGAATTTGCTGATCTGTGGAAGGAGTGATGATTGTGTACACCATGTGCTTTTGAGTTCAGTGAACATGAGATTGGACGCCTGTTAGAAAATTTTGGCTATTTTTCGTTGACGTCGAGTTTAAAGCGTAGACATTAGTTTCATGTATGTGTTTGTTATATTGGGAGACCGTACTTCTCATATGTATTTTGGTATTGATTTCTTTGAGTTGATGTTGAGCTTGTTGCGGTTCGATCTCCCCTTTACGTCAAATATTTAGAAAAAGTAAACTACTAACAATAGCTCAGCTTATAGATTAGGTATATTTTTTATTGATTTGATAACATTCGCAAAACTCTAGCGAGTTATTAGGAATTTAATACAAAATTTCCAACTTTTAAATAATCAGAAAAAATAAAACATTCGGTCAGGTCAGAAGCGTATATATAGCTCTATGATAATGTTTTGAAACCCATAATATACTAGTCGTGAACATCGTGCAAAGTAAGGCATCATTTTTACTAGTCGTGAACACCATGCAAAGTAAGACATTATTTTTTTTCTGCTACAGTAATCCCGATTTTAAATGCTACACTACTTTTAAAATTTTTGGATCAGCTCCCGTCTTCGCTATAGTTTTTTTAAAAACGCTACAACATTCCCATGTGCTATAGTGTTTTTTCAAAAAGTGCTCCCGTATCCGGTTCCAGTTAGCTACAATAATAATGCTACAGTAAATGTTAATATAGTATTTCTTGTAACATGAATAGTGAATTATGATGAATAGTGAATTATGTGTTCTCTCAGTTTGTATTTAGTTCATGGTATTACGGAAACTTTGTCCGAAACTTCACGGTAACCTGTAAAAAACGGTAATGGTGTGTTTGGGAGTTTACTAAGGGAAGGGAAGGGAAGGTAAACAACGGGAATGGAGGGGAAGGGAAGGGAAGAGAATTGTAATATGTTGTTTGGGAGTTGAGTAAGGTGAATGAAGGTGAAAGAAAGTAAATATATGTAAATTTACATAAATGACTTTATACTAATAACACATCAGCTCTTTTATTTGTTTTGATGGGGGTAAGAATGTCATTACACCCCTTTACCCTCCTTTACCCTCCTCTACTGCCCAAATCGGGGGGGGAAGAAAACCAAGCAATTTTACCCTCCGTTCCCCTTCCTTCCTCCTCTCTACCCTCCTTAAAAAAACTCCCAAACAAGATGAAAACTGTATTTCTCTTCCCCTCCCCCTTCTACCCTCCATCCAAACAGGGCGTAAATAACAATTTAACGAGGATAGTTTTTCTTCATGATATGTTTGTCAAATTTACCCTAGTTAATGGGTTTACCATCTGGAACTAATCATACGACCTTTTACTTACAAAGCCTAGCCCAGCCCAGCTAAGCCCGTTACCAAATACACGCGAATCTCCAACCAAATCCAACGGCCAATAAACCCCAACTCATCCTCCTAGGGTTTCCCCTCCCCATATAAAACCTCAGCCTCCCTCTAGGGTTTCCCTCTTCGTCGCCTCCTCTTCCCATTTCTCCTCGTCGATCTCTAGGTTTCCCCAGTCCTCCATCAATGGCCCCTCGCAAAACCGCTAGGGTTTCATCCAGGAACCCAGATCTCGTTCGAGGGATCGGCAAGTTCTCCCGCTCGAAAATGTACCACAAGCGAGGCCTGTGGGCGATCAAGGCCAAAAACGGCGGATCTTTCCCCAAACACAGAAACCCGAACCCACTAAGCCCGCCGAGAAGCCGCCCAAGTTTTACCCCGCTGACGACGTGAAGACTCCCATCCCCAACCGCCGCAAGCCCAAGCCCACCAAGCTCAGGTCTGGATTCTAGGGTTTTGGTTCCAAGCGTTCCTGGGTTTAGAATTTCGTGTTGATTTTGGTTGATTTTCTCTTCGTGTAGGCCGAGTATTACGCCCGGGACGGTGTTGATCTTGCTCGCTGGGAGGTTTATGGGGAAGAGGGTTGTGTTCTTGAAGCAGCTGCCTTCAGGATTGCTTCTCGTCACTGGTATTTTATCTGTGTGCTTTTTGGATGCTTATTACTATGATGAATATTTTGTAAATATCTGGATTGTTTCATTTTAGCCATATGGGGATTATTCATTTTCCGTTTCTAATGCTGACAATTGAATGTTTTGATGTTACATTAGAAGCAATTTGGAAAATTGGAGCCTATTATACTAAATGTTAATTAAATAGAATTGTATGTCATTATTAAACATTACAAATTGGAAGAAATGACGTTGTTCAATTAAAAAAAAAACAGCTTTATGTTAGTTCTGTGGCAATGATGGGCATGTGTAGCTCGAATTTACTGTGGAACTTGTTGTAAGTTCCCTGATGTGTGAATATGCAGAAAATTGCTTTGTATTTGAGGGAAGTGATTGCATGACCTTTTAATTTAGATTAGAAGTAAGAAGATGAGCAAATGATTAAGTTGAGTGTAATTGGCGTTTTGGACAGTCACACATAATGATGCATCTTTACAAATGAAATAATAGCGATGTATAGTGGGTGTTGTTCCCCATGCGCTTTAGCCCGTGAGTGTTAACCGCGTTCATGTGGTATAGTTCTTTATACTTGTTATGTTGAGTGCATTCTACCTTTATGAGTTGAGAAAGAAGGTAATACGAAGGAATTCTCTTAGGTGCAATTTTCTGACCTTTCCTGTTACATTATAGTTGTGTACTTGGTAATGTCGAATTAGCTTGTGGATAGTCTGAGTTGGACGTAGAACTTTTGAAAATTAAAATAAAACATTAGAATCATCTGGTAAGCTATTTTGTCTTGTTGAGTTGATGGAACATTATGCTTATGCTTCTTCACTAACAGATGTCTGCTGTTCTAAACGAGACGACTTTTTTATTATTAAATATTGGGACATGTTTATCGACATGGAGGTGTATTATGATGGGATACCGTTTTATCTTTGTTATAATGAGATGCGAGTTCTTCCTCTTTTGGCCACCAGTTGTTCATTGGATAGATTCTTATGTATGTGTGTTGCTTTGGTCAGTTTTAAGATGAAGTAATTCATTAATTAGGTTTCAGAGCTAGTGTTGTCAATAGCTTAATAGGACATTCTTTTCTCTGAGAGCATAGTTATTGTGTCTCTGATTTTATTTAGGAAAAATTGTATATGCGCGTGTGTAATCTCACACAACAATTGATTGCTCTGTTATTTTTGTTTATTCACCTATTAGTAGGTCTATATGGTAGGTCATACAACTCAATATCCAGTGTTATAATTCACTTCTTAATTTTTTTCAGGGCCCTTCAAGGTTAACGGAGTTCCCCTCCGCCGTGTAAACCAGTCCTACGTCATTGGGACATCTACCAAGGTTGATATTTCTGGTGTTAATGTTGACAAGTTTGATGACAAGTACTTTGCCAAGGAATCCAAGAATAAGGTGAAGAAGACCGAGGGAGAGTTCTTTGAAGCAGATAAAGAGGTTTGGCTTAGTTGTGAATACATTTGATTTGATTTGTTACCATTTAGTTGTTAATGCTCATATTCTAATTGCGCAGGAAAAAAAGGCCCTCCCACAAGAAAAAAAAGATGATCAAAAGGCTGTGGATTCACAGCTGTTGAAGGCGATTGAGGCTGTTCCGGATCTCAAGTTCTACTTGGGTGCTAGATTCACATTGAGTGAGGGCATGAAGCCTCATGAGCTTAAGTTTTAGAGCTGAGGTATCTTTAGGTGTTTTTGCTTTCGAGTTTTATTCATAGCTAGTTGTACTCTGTTTCTCTAGATCACAGATTGGAAACATTATCTTTCGTCCTGTTAGAGGGTTCTTATCATTTGTCTTTTGGTTGTGGTTTTGGATTAATCGAAACTATGTTAAGTTTTGAGCTATGTTATATTTTCTGTGTCTGGATGCTCTGATATTTCTATACCCAAGGTTTTTGTTATATTTGACATTGTGTCTTTTCTTGTTCCATTCTGCATCTGGGCTTCAAATTTCTTGTGGTTTTGGGTAATTGAACTATGTTTAGTTCAGGGCTATGTTATTGTCTGTCTAGATGCTGATATTTTTAAAACTTAGAGATAGTTGATGGTTCTGGTTGCTCTTTTGTGGATACTTGGTGGAAAACACGTTTATTGTACTAGGTTAAATATTTCAATTATTTACTTTTAAGTTTATTTATTTATTATAACATGGTTGCAAAAAGCTTTATAATTATCATAATATATTATTTATTTTTGGATATTTTCATGTGTGGTTTTAACATTTTGTCTTTTAGCGAAATAGTTAAGCTTATAGTCTTAAAATATTAATAATTTAAGATTAATTAGTAGTTTTAATATATAATTTTAAAATATTAATAAGGCAAGGGATCGATACTTAAAAAATACTATTATTAATGAAAAAAATAAATTCTAGAATTCATTAAGGCTGCGTTTGGGAACTTTGATTTGGATTTGGGAACTTTGATTTATAATCAAAGGATTTTAAATTTAGGATTTGAAATCCATGATTTAAGAAATCTTTTGTTTGGATATCTTTATTAAATGAAAGGATTTGAAATCTTTGATTTCAAAATCTAGTGTTTGGGTACTTTATTATACACGAATTTGAATTTAAAATTGATGAAAATTTATTCTCTTAACCCATCTTGTTTACATCAAATGCAATGGAGATGTGTAAAATAGTAACCAAAAAACACAAATTTAGGTAAGTTGATAGCTAAACTCATCTCTGATACTTTGCGAGGCCCTAGCAAACAGATAAAACACTTCATATAATAAGTATCTTTCAATTTTTCCGTTAACGTACTTGGACATCACTTTGATATACTCTCCACTAGTATCTTTCACAAAGACATCCAATAAAAGAGCAAATGTACCAAACCACAAACCATCAGATGCCGATATATTGGAGTATACTATAAGCCACAATCATTCACCATAGAAGTAAACACTACAATTTTAAAACAGTCACAATTTTAACAGTCACAATTTTAACCCAAGGGCACATCTGCAAAAGTGTACACTATAGGGGTTGCAATTTAAAAACGATACCACAGAGAGTATATGCAATTAACCCTTACATATTAGCTACAATCATTCGACAAAGCAGCAAGCTATATCAAATGACAATGAGAACCGAAAAAGGTGAGACCAAAGCACAAGCACTAGTTCGTTATTAGTCGTTAAGCGACAGCAGAAAAAGTTCATTATTATCTGTCGTTAAGCGACAGCAGATAATATTCTCTCAGCACAATATAACATTAATTGTCGTTAACAATTAATGTTACAGCCCTCTGTACTTCACATTTTATTCTTCCATTCAGACACAGTTTTCAGAAATACCTATAAGATTAAAAGGAAAAACCTATTAAACAGAGCTGTACCAATGAGATTATAGAGAATCGTTTGAATTTCGCAGTTCATCCTGTTTGATGCTTTACTTTTTTGCATCCTTCATTGCATTTAAATGACACTAATGATTGCATAAATTCCAAAATTGGTTTTTTGATTTGCTGTTCATATCCATAGTAACACTCTGGGCTCTTGGAAAAGAATACTTTCATTGTCTTGTATTTATTTTGAATCTTGATTGTGAATGGCTTTACTTGTAGTCACAACATCATTCATATTTGAGGGGACTTTAAATCAATCTAAAACATATTTGAGGGACTTTTCAACCTAATCCAATCTGTTTGACTTGCAATAGCAAGTTTTTAACAGTTCTATTCTCAATAAAATGAAAGATACCGAGACTGGGACTTTAATTTAATGAAGTCCTAAGAAAAAACAACTCAAGACATAAAAGAAAGACGCTGAAACATGACAACGTCACAACAACTTTTTTTATTTGAACATGTGTATGCATAAAGAAAATAGTACATTAACTTAGTTTCTTAATTTGATCTTGTAACGTGTCTGTGTGAAGAGAGGGGGATTTAATCATTAGATGGAGAAATGATGTCTATCAACTAAGTATGACAGTATCATTGAAGTCTATCAACTTAGTTTCTTATTTTGGAAATTTGATCTTGTCCAACAGTAAGCAGCAGGGATATGAAACCCAAAAGCATCAACTCTGCATGTCACATAACTTAGTTTGTTAGGTAGATTAACTCAAAAAATTGAAGAGGGAAAATGCCTCACACTATTTAGGTCATATTGGGTAAAAATGGAAGTACTGAGAAATATGATATTTCTTTTTATGAACTTAGCATTAGAAAGAAAACTACCATATGATATTGAAATTTCAGAAACAGAACTAATGAGGAAGCAGTCCCACAACCCAAAGCTGCAAATGACAGTTATCTTTCTAATTAGAGTGCATTTCATGAACATGACATTAGAGGTTACAAAAACTAATGCAGGTCATATAAAACACACACACACACACTTAACACAAAACAAGATCATTTGTTGAACATACTCATGAGGCATACAAGAGTCGTAAAGAGCAAAAAAGAAAAAAATTATTAGAACATCTGATAGACATTAAAAACTATACAATATGTATATTTAGGTCATCTTTCGGCGACTAACAGGTATATATGATTGGTTGTTCAGGGTTATCGCTTAGTTTTTATCTCGTTTTATTTCCACAGTAATAAATTTTGTGTTGTGATGACTCTTTTCTATTATAAATTCCAGTTTCTTGATTTAGTCATTGATTGTTTACAAAACATGTAAGTTTGGCTACGTAGCCTGAACTGTGCCAATTAATGCCCACCTAATGAAGGATAAGATGATTCCTGCCAAGAATCTGAGGCATATTTCTGAATACTTGTTGAAGTAAATTGAGTAATGCTACATAGACGATTAACACAAAACCTCACACTATTTTTATTGCTTTCGAATTTTGCTTCAGACAGTTTGTGTTTATTCTGATTACTCATCAAAACATGTAAGTTTCCTATGACCCAAAATAAGAAATCACGACATAACAAAATTAAAATAACAGTAAAATTACCTGCAATTGTTGACGGATGAGAAGGCAATCAGAAGAGCTTGAAGAAGTGCTCAATTTGCGGCTTGGAGTTCTTACTGAAAAGAAAAAAAGCACACAAACCAGAATTAGCAGACCTATATGACTAATCACATAAATGAAAAGACATAACTTTTGAACGATGCTTATAATCAAATGCACTGACATATGGAAGCATGGACGATGTTTTCATGATTCTTTTCCTATGAGAAATGTGCATATCTGATGTTTAAAGAAAACCATAGATTTCTCCTAATTTAGTTATGTGATATGTTCTCCATGTTTTCTATGTTAATTCACTTGTTTTACTGGTTACGGTATGTAAATATCTGAGGAGTTGGTTTTAATTGTAGTGATAATTCCAGCAAACACATCCTGTTAATTGAAAGTCCATAAATTTTGCTTTCAGGCTAGATCATTCAATTGTCCGTCAAATGCGACGATGGTATTTTTTTTTGAAACGTAAGATAGGTTGACGTGGCCTCTTTTTTCTCCTTCTGTTTTCTGTATGATTTAAGTATCTCATAGTTTCACATACTTTGCACTTATATACTCACTTGTTTTTCACAGCACTTCTATACGCTTACGTTGTCTAAAATTGGCACAAAGCAAGTGAAGGTGCTATACAGCAACGTATTATGCAGCATGTGTGATACTCTGTGAGGTATGTAGGTGCTATACAGCAACGTATTATGATCTGATGAGGTGAAACTCAAATGAAAATGCTATATAATGCCCTCGCTAGAGGAACATTCAACTTAACAAAATGAAAAGACATAAATCAAAAAATTTAAAAATTAAAAAACAGCAAAAATTGAAGTCATACCTTGAATCCCAATCAGAAACTGCAGAAGTTTGAGGAGAGCAACCGAAAGAGAGGAGAAAACAAGCTACAAAAGAGAAAATCCAAGTCAGATCAGATCTAGGGTTTCGATGGAAGGGGGAGAGAGAGGAGTAAAGGGCGAGATCGAAACCGAGAGAGGAGAAGGGGAGAGAGGAGAGGTACCTGCGATGGATCGAGATCGAGATCGAGCTTTGAGATGGAGATGGAGATCGAGTTCCAGTCGGGACTTTGACACGAGCGGCGTGAGAGAGGAGAAAAAGAGGAGTCGGGGTTTTGAGGGGTTGGATTTCGTGGGTGAGGATTTGGCAAATACCAAGTATTGTGCCCAAATTTGAAATCCATCATTTTAGGCTTTTCAAATCCATTGTATAAAATGGCTTGATTTAAAATCATGGCCTAAAATTGAGCCCAAACATGAAATTTGGATTTGAAATACCCAGAATTTCAAATCCAAGCCCAAATCAACATTCCCAAACACAGCCTAAAGAAAAATCATAGGTTTTATTTAGTTACTAAAGATTTTGTTCAGTTATAAAAAAGTACTTCTTCCTGTTGTTTACTTCCATTGTTGTTTATCTGTCACCGAGTATTATAGATATTCAAAAACTTTGTTCTAGAATTTTCTTAAAAGAATATGCAAATTCAATCCAGAAAGAACATATAAATTATGTGATCAATTCTAATATATGACGTTGTACTCTTTTTACATCTTTTCAACTACTAATTGATTTGTCAAAATGATTTACTCTTTAGTTTTGGAAAATTATAAAATATAGTCTGAGAATGATTTATACATATTATGCACTCATATTGATTGTATTTTAACAAAATAATTCATATCTATTAAATGTTAAACATCCAAAATTTTAGCTTAAGGAGTTAGAAGAATACAATATTTACAAAATATTCATATTCAAGCTATGAGCTTCATAAACTTATAAGAACGTGAATAATATAAATGCCATAATTTATATTGTCAAATAATTTATTACAAATTATGAAAGACAAGGGGAATCATAAGGATCTCATACCCATCCCTTAATAAATATTAAATTGAACAAATTTTCGTTTTAGACTCATTTAGATTATGTTTTTAAAAATCAACCCCTTTCATATTTATTTACAAATTTGGGTTGAAATTTGTAAATAAAGTTGAAAAGGCTGAAATTGGGTCGAAATTTGTAAATAAAGTTGAAAAACTTCACGGGATTTAAAATCCCGTGAAGTTTAAGCTATTTATTAGCAAAAGCTGGTTAGGGGGCCAAATCTTCATGGGATTTGAAATCCCGTGAGCTTAATAAAGCCAACTCCCAGGGAGTCTTGCTCTTTGGTGAGGTGGCCTGCAACTCCACGGGATTTGAAATCCCGTAAAGTTGCGGCAATGCCTATATAAAGCCCACGCGATAACAAATCGCCTTTTCCCGACCCCCCCTCTCTTTGCTCCTTCACCACCAAACCCTAGATCTTTATACCGCCGCCTCCTCTGCCACAGTCGTATTGTCCACCGGCCATTGTCGATTCCGCCACCGGCGTCATTGCCGGAATTCACCGGAAATTAGGGCATCGACAAAATTTAGGTAAAATCGTTAATTTTTTTGTTTTTTCTTCTAATTTTTCATATATTCTCACTATTTCATGCTAATAACTTGTTTAAATTTAGATTTTGAAATATTTATGAATTTTCTGAAGAAAAAGTAAAGAAATTTGTGTATGAAGTTAGAGGGGAGATTATCTATCTAAAATTGTAAAAGTTAGTGTATTATAAAGGTTTGACATTTAGTTAAAATTATGGATGTCTAAAATCGATATTAAAGAATTTTAGTAAATAATATTTTTTTGTGTAATATTGATATTGGAATATTTTACTCTTCAGAGATAACGATGAACGATTGAATCTTAATTCTTTGTTCATATGATGAAAATATTAACTATCTGGAGAATAATATGCCCGTATATGAAGGAGGTGTGATGAAGCCGTTGTTTATATCAAAATCATGTACTTTCGATGAATTGGTTAATAACTTACACAAACTTATATTAACTGATCCACGTGAGTATCACCTCAACGTTATTTATAATTATCTTGTTACGGGGAACAAAACAAGCGACATTCAAATCTCAAGTGACTACAGTAGGCACTCAAAACTGCCAAAAGGGAAACGAGAGTCGCACCTCATTGCAAATAGGTGAGGATCATTATCACATCGCACCTCGTCTCGTCAATGAAGATGAATGTTATTCAGAAGCTCAACTGGAAGCATTGAAGCTCATTGTCAAAGACGAAGTTCAAAACTCGTCGAAACGAGGATCAAAGGTCGTCAAACAATGAAGTTTGTCAGTGAAGATGAAGCTCGTCAAAGGAAGTTCACCAGATTTGCTAGGTAGTTGGACTCAGCTATTGAAGACGAAGCTCGTCAGATGAAGTCGATGAAGACAAAGTTCGTCAAGAGAAACTCACCATACTGTGAAGCTTGCCTTATCAAGCGAACCTCGCTGCGTGTTGAGGCTCGTCTAATCTGACAAACCTCGCCACGCAACGAGGCTTATCATCCACACAAAGTTCGGCTGTAACGACTACGAGAACCAAGTCAGGCCACGTGTGCTAAATTGCAGGAGGCAGTTATGCTCCTCTACCCACGATTTCAGCACATCAATTACGTGCTAATGGCCTATAAACAGCCCCAAGCAGCTATGAAAAAGCCATCGCGAGTATATGCACAAGAAACCAAGGCTAGCACTCATGTTCTTTGAAGACTCGAACCTCGGTTCTAGCCATTGAAGCTATCAACAAGGGGTTAATTCTTCTTTCAAGTTGAAGCGATCTTGATCTGATTGGCAACGGGAAGCAAACTCGACTTGAGTATCGAGTGAGACATCCTTTCGCCACCTTGAACCCATTTTAAATTAAAGAGAAGTCAAATTAATCTTCTCTTCCTCTGTACTTGAGAGAGAGCAATTGTAAGGGGTTCTTACAAAGTGATAGAATCCATTCTTAAAACAAGAATCAATCGCATATTTTTCGATCCTACAGAAGATGGTAACCACAGTGGGAGCAACTATTCTTTCAGACGAACTGGTCGTGGCGCAATCAGATAAGATCGTGGTGGGAACAGAGGTCGAAACTCTTATCATCGAGTTCGACCAATCTAAGTACGAGGAGTTCCTCTCCTCACGTACCCCGAGTCCCACAAAGGCACGTAAGTGTCGTAGAGTCTCGTATGAGACTTCAGCCATGTGGCTTCTGACCATTTCACTCGAGTCAATCTCGAAGAGGGACTTCAGCCTCTGACTGATGAGGCTTTGAAAACTAGCTGCCAGACTAAGAGGTGGATTGTGAAGCAGCCTCGCCAAACTTTGGTTGATGTTGAACAACCCAATCAAGCAATGGCTATTGCGGAACCCGTTGCTGATCCGCTTTCAAGACGTGCAAGACAACGTTAACGTCAGAATCAGGCTCGCCGCAAGGCTCGAGCTTTGGTCTCGTTGGATGGTTTCCACTATCGGCCACAAGACAACACGTCTAAGGCCCACAAGTCTACCAAGGCTCGGTCAGCTAAAGTGCGTCAAAATGACAAACCTCACCACTGCATCCAACTGTGCTCGAACGATGAAGCTCATCTTCAACACGAGGATCATCCGATCCAACAAGCTCGCCCCTGCTCGAGCTCGTCAGGAGGACGTCCCTCAAGTCAAGAGCCGACCGAGACGACGAATGCATCGGGTTCGTCCAATCAACAAACCTCGCCTAAAACATGCAAATGACGAGGCTCCTCCAGCTACCCAAGCTCGCGAATCTCTGACACTTAGAGATTCTTGCTCATGCGCTGCCAAGTTGCCGGAGCTAACTAGGGGTGGTCCTAATACTGATCTTCGTGATTATCTCGTCCGCAAACGCAGTATAAGCCAAATGCAGTCTCATTGCAATTGTGAGAAGCCCATCTCCATAGTGCTTTCCCGATGTGGAGGGTTGGTACCTAAGCCTTCAGTCTTCGAGCGATTGTCCGAACCATCGATAGTTCCATCGCCTAGAAGAAGACGTTTTCGTCCCAGGAATGAACATGTTAGGGTGACGATTAACATGGTCAACAATGGTAAGGATAAAGCCCCAGCTGACCCGTCTGAGTCCTTTGATCCTGAATTCTCCCCACGACTAGGCGAAATGCATGTCGTAAGGGTAAGGTGTATATCAACACACCCATACCCGCACCAGAGTAGTGATTCCATTGGATTACCGAAGTTTAGCAGGCATCTCAGACAATGTCAATGAGGAGCTTGACAATTCTGCCATTGCAACTTCCCAACCATCTAGTACTGATCAAAGTGAGCAGGCGAACGCTCACATGGTTGGGAGTGAAAAAGACATGACAAGAAAGCTGGAGGAACAACAAGATACCATCCTCCAGCAACAAGAATCTATCAGGCGCATGGAAGCAATGATAGAAAGACTTGTCAAAGAGAAAGAAAAGAAGAAAGCTACTGCTGAAGCTTCAGGATCAAGGCACCGACAACCTTCACCCGATGCTGAGGAATCTAGCCGTCAATACCAAGATGGCGCTGATGAAGAGGATGAAGTAGAGAAATTTTCAACATTCATTTTGAATCGTCCGAAGTTGAGTCCAACCCTCACAAGAAAGGACGAGATAAGAAGTTGGACGATTTTTAGAAGCAACTTGATGCTTTGAAGCTTCAAGGAAACTTCAAGGAGTCGGGGGTGATTAGGCC